GCCAAAAGCTAACAGCAGTTCTGGTGTGTACACAGAGGACGGTAACACTCAAAAAGAACATGGTACACCACCAAACCAAGGGTCGGATGCGGAGGGAAGCAAACCAGATTCAAAAGGCACAGATCAGGTTCTCAAGACCTCTCCAAAACCCCGATACCCCGACACCCCGACAGCCCGCAACAACGAGACGATGCAACGACACTCTCTCCGAGGGAACAGTGAAGAGAAAAATGAAAAAGAAGAGAAGTCATCAAGCCTTTGCCAAGTCCTGCATGAAGGCAGCGCCCGACTTGGAATCGGCGAGCAAAAGAATGGCTGTTTCTGACCTACTCAGCGACGATCAGCAGTACCATTGCCGCGCTTGCCCGCAAACGAGTGCTGGGGTGAGGATGCGGCGATCGGCTTCATCCTGGTGACCCTGGTAGTTGATGTTGCGCATGCCCAAAATTCCGTTTTTGAACAGCCTTGCGCTTTTGAGCAGCCGTAAGCAAGCCAGCCATACCAGCTGCTTGATCAACTTGGCGATCCATCTGCTTACGAGCCGTGAAGGAGGCCTCGGGACGAGGAATGGGAGAGCGCTCGCGGCGACCACTTCCACGGCGCTTATCACGATCGCCATCACGAGACGTATCCATGGCATCACCATCTTCGTTGTCGGTGAAGTATTCACGGCGCTCGCGCTTCACGTCTTTGGGGAGCTGCTTCAGCTTCTGGCGAATGGCCTTGGGCAACACGGGAGCATTGCGCGACTTGCGGAGATGCGCTGCCTGTCGGATGATCATTCGCTTGTGTCGGATCCTATAAAACCAGGCAGTTGTGTTGTGAGCTTGAACAAGTGATGATGCTCGTCAATACCTGTTGTGCAACAGGAACCTACATGGCTGACTGAGCGCGCGCAACCTTATCGGCTTCGTCGTCGCTCTCCGAATCGTATTCGCCGGCCCGCTCACGAGCCTCTTCCTCCATCTCAAGCTCCTCCAGCTTGGCCATGCCATCAGGGTCGATAAAGTCAGCGACGTTTTTGCCATCGACAAGTATGGGGATGGCGTCATATCGCCATGAATTGTTTTTAAGATCCCACTCGGCACGCATGTCAGTGGAATACTCAGGGCTGAGTTCATCTTGCATATCCCGAAGTATCTGTCCATGACATTGTTTCGAGCCTCTTCGAGCATCACAATGCGCAGCTGACGGCCCTTGGTCGGCATGCGACCCATTCGCTTGGTTTCGGCAGCACCATCAGGCACAAGAACACGGCGTTCCTAAAGCAGAGCGGGATGAAAAATTTGTTATGAGTTGGCATCACGCGATTTTAGGTATATAAGTCTACATTTATCTTCAACTTCTCCACTACAAAATGCTACAAATCTCCTTGCGATAAGAAACTTTTGTGCATCTTCTCACTACTATTCTACGCTAATGGTGAACGAAATAGATAATGTCAGACTTTTATGGCAGTCGGGGTGGCAGCGTCGTGGTGCGTCACAGGAGTACCCTATCGAATTCGGCTTACCAATGCTCATGGTCGTGCTGCTGACTCCATTCGTATTTTGACTGCACCTCACACGTCCTGTCTTAACAAGCATTCAAGGTCACTGCAGTAGCAAGCACACGGAGGTGATCTAGCAGGTGTGTCGCGGTCAAGGCTCCAGGCTACGAGGTGGGGGAGGAGTCGTGGTATGACTCGCATCACATCTGGATTGGATGGAGTTTGTCTTGGTTCTTAGTCAATTTCGGGGGAGACCTCCAGAAGCCGGGGCCAAGCAAGCCCTGGCCACACACTGATGACGTATAGGCCAGCCCAGCCCAACACAGTTGGGATCGGGCTCGCTCACCAAAGGCGCACGCCCTCGCGCACTCCCTTTTCGACAAAAACTTTACATATCATACATACACACACAAGCAACGGCGCTTAGTCGTCCTGGACGATCATCTCCTTGTGGTTCTCGTAATACTTCTTCCAAGCCTCAAGACGCTTCAGCGTCTGGGTGAGGTCCTGTTGCTTGAGCGTTTCCTCCTCCTGGCTCTTCTTCTTGGCCTCGAGACGCAGGTTCAACAGGTCAATGAGGCACTGCACCTCGTCGGCGCTGTGCAGGAAAAAATTGTCGGGAATGGCCTTCTTGTCTTCGACAGAGGGAATCTCAACGCGCAGCAGCGCTTGCTGGTTCACGGCGTGGGCCATTGTGCTGGGAACAAAGATAGTCTAGAAAAAGGCTTTCGGTCGGGTTGTCGGTATTTGCTTGGTACTTGGACTTGCTGCGATACTGTAGTAAAATGCCCAAAGTGAGCAGCCCCCTTCCACTTGAACTACTGCTGCACCCGCCGTGCACAGTGGTGAGTAGCAAAGCCAACAACAGGGCATGGTGTGTGGAGCAGGGGCGGATCAACATGAATGAACATGGGCAAGCGTTACCACGGTGGAGCTGGTAGAGGGGGCTCCACTGTGTGGAGGAACCCGAAGCTTTGGAGCCCTCTGATGCGGACACAGGGCAGTGATATCCGATGCCGATCAGTGTGCAGGGTTGGGCTTGTCCGATCGAAGGACGGGCAACGAGAACAAAGGCTCGAACCACAGGCGAAGAGTGGGACCAGGTCAGGTTGGGAACGGGTTGTCACTCAAAGAGAAGCTGGAAGAAGCTTCAATTGAACTGTCAAACGAAGATCAGGTCAGACCGGTTGTTGCCAAGGAGCTGATGACGCCGTCTATGCATGATTGAGCCTCAAGGTCAACCATCATCACCACCAACTCTCCTTCTCGTTTCCAAAGGCCGCGCGTGCAAGGCCCTCCCAGCAACCTCTGGTGCCTCGGTGGCGTTTCCTTGCTTGTTGTAGTCAAGGCGAGTCGTAGGTTTCCAAACGTTACAATCCTCAACTTTGACGCATGCACGCCTTATCGAGTCTAATACCAGCGAGGCTCCTCCCACAATTCTTCTGGATATGCATCTGCGTATCGGCTTGGTTGACAAGAATGCGAAAAACTACCATTTCGAAAATTAAATTCTATGCCACCCACGTCTTGTTGGCCTTGTGCTCCGAATAGGGAAGCTCCAAGGCTTATTCCCTTTTCGGAGCACAAGGCTTATTGGTACAAAGAAACGCAAAGAGATCTACAGGTCATGGTTGTTGTGCCAGCTTGGCCAAGGGATGCTGGCCTTTGCAGTCAGTCTGTTGGTGCGCGCTTACTCAAGAACAATCCAGTCATACTCTGCGGGGACCATGGCGCGGCCGTGGTCCTTGAAGAATGAGCCATGTAGGACCGTCTTTCCCCCGTGTGGTTGGCGGGGGTCAAGGTAGGCGCCCCAGAAGGATAAAGTGGACGAGGTCAAGACGTGGTGCTGGCACTGTGACATGATGTAGAGCGAGACCAGCACGTTCTCATCAACCAAGAGCCACTCAAAGTTGTACAGGGTCGCTTGTTCGGCCATGAAGCTGCGAGCCTTGGCTGGGTTGTCTGAAAACACCAGATACCGAACCTCGCGCGCATCAAACATCTCCTCAAAGACGCGCTGGTAAAAGCCCAGCGTCGGCATGCGGCGGTCTTCCAAAAGATTCTGCGCGGGCTCACCGCTGTAGCCGTAGCGTAAATGTAGAGACACTGGGATTTTCCAGCGTGTGCCGGCTGCGGATGCCAGTAGAGGGTCCAGCAAATCGCCATACAAGCGGTAGCCGTGTTGCTGCAGAGCCGGATGCCATTCAAACATCTTGAGAATGTACGCCCGCTCGTGATGCCAGAACCGGTGGTTAAAAAAATAACCATGAATATAGGACGGGTATAAGGCCTTGCCCGGCAGAGGATGGAATTCATCTGGGAGTTCAGTGCGAAACGCGTTCCTATCAGGCGTGCACGTGTGAGTGCGTGAGAGCATGAAAGCACGTGTGCGTGAAAAAAAAAGGGGGGAGCACGGCCTTCGGGTACACAAGAAAAAAATAAGACCCGAGCCAGCAGATGGCGGCGAGGACCCTGTGTCATACCGATTGAAAACGCGTCGGTTGGGGACGACAGGCTCAAAGGTGACCCACAAGAGCTGGGGAAACACATCCTTGAGCGTAGCTCCAGGGGCCGGCGGCGTATGACCGCCCCAAGGGGCAAATGTGTGGTATGCCCGATTCCAATGCTTGTAGAAGCCAACAACACATGGGGCCTGCACAAAGACAAGACGGAATCGCTGAGGGTCAAGCATGACACAAATAAAACGCGCAGACCTTGCCACAACTGGTCTACCAGGCCAAAAGTCGAGGCCTGACCTGCTCCGTCTTAGCCAGCGCTAAGAGTGCAGCCAGTTGGAAGAGAACGTTGCCCATACCCCCGTAAAGAATGGGCGCCACATACGGACCCAAGGCGTCTAGCTGTGCCTGTGTTTGAATGCTGGGGGGCCCGAGTGCGGCTGCAAAAGGGTCGGGAGAAATAGGTGCCAGGCACAGACCGAGGACAAGTGAGGGTTATCCGGCACTACAGCTACCTCACGACAAAATTTCAAAATATTTGCGCATTGATTTACTTGGGGCTGGCCATTGAGACAGCGGCTCATGGTGGCCTTCGTCGCGGCAGGAAGGCCCGCATAGTTCGACGGCTTGGGCCTGGCTCGACCACAGATCTGGGCGGGATGCCGCAGCAGGTGCGCCCCGGACTTGGGCTTGCAGCCAGCCGAGGCATGCTACCAGGGCAATGCCCACGAGCAGGCAATGCCGCGCCGTGGCTCGGCCCAAAACCGCCATGGCGTGGTGCAACAAAAGTGGTGATTTTTGAACCAAACCGCGGCGGCGTCGGTTTGAATGCCCTCGAGCACGCTCCCACTCCTCAATTGCACACGCGTCGCCGACCAGGCGCCCAAGTGGCACTTTAATACCACTTTCTAGCAGGATTCTGCGCCAGGCCAACCGCTGCTTCCCTGCCTTGGTGAAGCTGGCTTCCAAGACTTTGCTGAATATACATGCATGCATGCAAATTTCAATGTCCGCAGCTGACGTGCCTGAACAACGAGCAACGACGCATCACAAACGGGAGGGGGGGGGGCAACTTGGTCCAGACCCGACTGCCAAGGGGGTTTCAAGGTATTCCACAACCCGAGGAGTGGCCAGAAGCGTGATCCACTGCCCATTTGGCGAAAATGCAACACTTGAGGGGACGAGACAGCGTTGGACATTGTGATGCACGCATCTTTTGACCCTGTAATCAATCCACCATGGTCATGTAGGCAGTTCGCAGTTCGCGTCTGGTTGGCACGCAGATAAGGGGAAGAAGGTGGAGGTACAGCGAGCGCCCTTGGGGTGTGAATAGGGTTGACCATCCAGGTGGTCGTCTCTCTCAAGTCGATTCATAGGGTTGAGTGTGACACACAAGGGGATTTCTCCTCAGGTACGAGGAGGAACGGTCAGGAAAAAAAAGGAACGGGCACATAGGGTGCTGATGCTTGTCCATGCACCAAGCCGGCCACGAGTGCTGGCAGAATCTGACTCAAGAGGTCATGCCACCTTGCTTCGGCCTCGAGGGTTCTCGGTCACTACACTGAAGCAGCGCCACGCTCATGGAGCGTGGTTGTCAATTGACACGACGCGCTCAGTTGGACCAAGACTCCCACCTCAAGGCCTCGTGGCATGACATCATGTGTCGGGTCACACAGTCTTGATAACAACAACAACAACAACAACAACAACAACAACAACAACAACAACAACAACAACATACAAACTAAGCAAGTAACAAACCTGCAGCTCTTGCTGTCAGGCAGGTCTACATAACGTCACGGCAATGGCTCAAGCACATCAGACACGCCCGCTGTGATACCCGAGCATCAAAAGAAGGACAAAAAAAACACAAAAATTCTCAGCCCGTCAAACAAGCAAACATGGACGAGCATAAACTGTGCTTGAATGGGCAGTCCGGCAACTCCAACCGGCTCAGTCTTGGCACCCAGCAATCTAGTCGTCATCGTCGGAATCTACATGCATCCGCAGGGGCAGATGGATGAGGATGATGCAACACTCCTTCAGTTGCGAGCCACATGGCTGACCGTTCAAGGTAAACGTGCAATTGCGTACCACTGACAGCTCGGCGACTGCGGGCCGAGCGGGCTGCGCGCGTATAGCCGCGACGCGACCGGGCGCGGGCCTCATCGTCGTCGTCGTCATCGTCTTCTTCACTGCTGGGTGTATCATCAGGGTGGCGAAACTTGAAGCCAGTTGCCTCCTCATGAAGCACGCGCCGGCCCTCGCAAAGCTCATGGTAATCAATTCTACCGAGCAAAAGTTTGCAGAGGTCAGTGCGCATCACAGCGACTGGCGTGATCAGGTGCCGCCATCGGCAAAGTGCGAGGGACAGCGCACAGGCAATGACGTACTCTCCGTCGCCGTCAATGTCAAGACGAAACATCAGCTCCTCTTGTTGCACCGCATTTAGCGGGATGCGCAATTCGGTGCATGCCTCGGTCACCTCCCGCACGGTGAGCGTCCCACTCTTGTCCTTATCAATCTACACCGATGCGATGTCAGGTGATCATGGCGCATCCACATAAGAGGCCGACACCTAGTCCGCCACGCTTTACACTTCTCCCCTTTCCATGCACAAAAACCAAAAGCGGAGGCGGGGGTGGGGGACAGAGCACCGTACCTGAGCAAAGAGGTCAACCAAACGCATGCGGTGCTTGCGGACGTAGGTCTCCAAGATGGCCATGGGATCGTTCATGTTTGGGTAGAGCAGCCCGAATGTCTCGCTGGCCCGCTCCTCAAACACCTTGTAGTCTTTCTTGCCGATGGGTTCCAACTTCATGACCGACATGCGCTAGTGGGCCAACGGCAGGCAGGTGAGCTAGGGCGCTGGGCAAGGCCGGGCCAAGCGGTGGCGCTGGGCATACCGAGGCACGTTTTGCAGCTCGTTCTTCCGTTTCGCGTGGTTTGCCGTCTGGGTAATAGCCCCGCTGCCAAGCTTCAGTGGCAGACCAGGATGGGTCATAATCATCGCGCTGGCTCAGCCAGTCGCTATCCGTGCGCGGTACACCCTGGTCCGTAAAACCCATCCGCCATGCTTCGTCCGCAGTCCACGAGGGATCAAAGTCACCGGTGGGTCTAAGCACAAGGCAGGCGAATTTGCAGGGTGTCAGGCCAGCCGTTTGATGCTGCTCTCCAACACAAGTTCAGGAGCGCAACGCTTACCGCCGCACAAAGGCGATGGAACTGCGACGTGGGGTGGGCTTGAAATTTCCACTCGAAACGGAAGAGAGGCGTCGGCGCTCCACCTCTTGCATTTGCTCGCGAATGGCCGTGATGTTTGAGTTTTCAAAGGGAATGCCATTGAATCCCTCTGCCCCAAAGGACAAGCCCCTGTCGAAATGTGGTGCGGTGGTGTACGGAAATAATTTAGTAACGCGACGACAAGAGATACTCAAAGCTCCTTGATTTCTCGTCCTTGGTCCTGTGCACGCACGAGGTGCTTTTGCCCGCTTGTCTGCAACAGCTTGCGTGCGTGTGTGCGTGCTACATACCGGGATTGTAGCCGAGAGAGGCGTTCACGCGCTGTGGAGCTGAGGGAGATGCCATCGAGGTCCAAGACTTGTAGATCACAGCCGGCTTCCAGGGCATCCAATAAGGCAGAAATTCCTGCATGCCAGAGAGAAGAGAGAATCGGTCGAAGAGATGGTGAGGCAAAGAATGGGCGAGGCTGCAAGAGGATGTGGTCAAGCCGTTCAAAAATGGTCGGGCTCAAGCGAGCAGGAGCACGCGCACCATCCTCCCCAATTGGGTTGTGAGCAAGGGATAAGAACTTGAGTGAACAATCCTTGAGAACGTTGGCCAGAGCAATTGCACCCTCATCGTGAACATTGTTAAAGTCGAGACGCAATTCCTGGAGGGTCGCATTGCTCTACTCGAAAGACATTGCGGTGAGCTTCACGCGGGTCTACCGGCCGCAGGCCTGAGGCATAAAATAAAAAACAAGCCAAAGTCTGAAAGGAACACCGTACCCGGAGACCGCGCGCCAGGGCAATCACGCCAGGGTCACCGCAGGCGTTGTGACTGAGTAGGAGGTTGCGAACGGAGGTGGCTTGTGCTAGGCCTTCGCCTGAGGAAGACACGGTCAAGCGCGGCCAGCAACGTGAGGCTGGCGTTTCAACACGGCATCGCTGGACAGCAGGGCCGGGCAGTCACGGGTAGCGCACTCAGACTGTGGGCACCACGATGGCGAATGCAATTCCAGCTCAGGTCTAGTTCACGTAGCGCTGAGAACGACCCCACGTGAGACTCTTTGCACATCCTGAGCGACATCAATGCTTCCACTTTTGAAAAACTTGAAACTGATAGCAAGCGATGCCGGGCGTACCACGTGCATTGGCGAGCATTTCGCCAAAGCTGACACAAGCTGCGTCGCCAAAGCGATTGTGGGCTGCAGGGTGGCACACGAGACCATGGTCCAAACATGTGAATCATTAAAAAATTTGTGAGCGTTTGGCAAACACGATTGGAGAGAGCGGACCACGTACCCAGACCAAGTCGGGCGATGCTGGTGTTTGACTTGATGGCCTCGCTGATAGGGGCGGCGTGCGTGCACAAGAGCGAGTTGTCGGCCATGGAGAGCACACGCAGACTGCGGTTGCTCTAAGAGCAGCCGCAAAGCGACCAAATCCCCAAATTCAACAACAAAAACATTAGCAAACGCAGTTCAAGCGAACCGTCAGAGGTCATGGGATGGCCTGGCGCGACTTCGTGGCAGCGCCAGGCGAATAAGTCAAGGGGAGGGTTTGGGGGATACGGGAGGTCGGCGATTACCTGGATGGAGGTGCAAAATGTGATAAGGCCGCGGGTACGGATATTGTTGGCATCCATGCGCAGGGTTTTGATGTAGCTCGACTCAGTGAGAAGCTTTCCAAGCGAGGCAGCCCCACCGTCTGCAGAGACAAAGGGGATGAGGCCACCGCACAGATCAGAGGACCATGTGTGCGTCGGGCCAACGCCGGGGTTGGGCAACGTACCCTGGATGTCATTACTGGAGAGATCGAGTTGGTCGATCTTGTCGTAGTCCTGAAGCGTCTCAGCCAGGGCTCGGCAACCCTAGGAGGGGGTCGGTGTCTGAAGTGAGGGCGTGCGATGAAGCAGGCCAGGAGTTTGGGGTCGTTCGAAAAGGAGGCCAAGTACCTGAATACCGACGCTATGGTTTTTCAGGACGATGGCATCGCTTTGCACCAGGGAGCGCTCCACCACGGCCACGGGCACGGTGCCATAATCGTTGCAGAGCTGGCGGTACTGGCTGCGGGGCGTTGCATGGGCAGGGGAGGAAAACATGAATCCGAGGTGGGGAGAAGGGCAGGGCAGGGCTGAGTAACACTCGAGTGTGGCTTTGGGGGCGACACCACCCGTGTGTGCTTGCGTACCGCACGATGTCAGGTAGGTCGAGTTGCGAGCAGCGGAGGAGGGCGGTTGAGGCCAGGCTGAAATCGTCCTGGACATGAAAGGAAAGGAGGGGCGGAGGTGGTGTGCAAATGAGCACGGGAAAGGGGAACAAATGGATGGCGACAACATGTAGGCAGAAGCGCGTACTTCGCTGTTTTCCTCGTCGTCGTCGGAGAGCGATTCAAAGGCGTCCAGGTGCAGGCCTGGGTGGGAGGAGCGTCGGACGCTAAAGCTGCGTTGAAGATGGCGGCGGGGCGGGCGGGCGCTGGCGGCGCGGGGTAGGCCGCCAAGGGAGAGGTTATCCAGATTGGCAAGGTTGGGTCGAACGCCTGTGGCAGGCGCGGTGGCAGCCCGATTGCGATTGCGAAGAGAAAGGCCTCGTCGACTGCCCTCGGTATCTTCCAGGGGACGGGCTTGGGATGTCATGAGTTCGCGATTGAACTGGATGACTTGCTCCGGCTGTTCCCAAGGCACGCGGGTCATGAGGCGCGCCGACTTGATGCGCTCGGGGCGCGCCTCTGGCTCTGTCATGGTCATGGCCAAGACACGCGCGGGAGGAAAGGGCAAGCAAGGTCTTTGAAAACTTTGTGTTGAGCGGGGAGATAAAAAGTTGAAAGGCCCGCGTCAGGGCATGATCA